GGGGACAAGCGACGAAAGAAACGGATCGTCCTCGTTCTCGCGTTACTACCACCCTCGAGACTCTATTAATTCGAGATGATTAGGCCAACCGATCCTCGTTGCTAATTGACCACACGCGCGCGCGCTGCAGATCGAGGATTAATTAAATCGAATTAAGTTTAATTAGCAGCGACCACTTGCAACCGTGGCGTGGCAAGGTCGCTCCGTTGTCACGCCCGCCTTTTAATCGTCTGTCGCTTTTGTCCAGCTCTTTCGTCCTCGTCGCTCGATCGCAACATCTCACGGCACGTCGCCGAATGAAAGATTTCTCTCAGTCTTTCCTTTGATTGCTAGCTAGCTAGCTACCGCCGCGTGTCGAGCAATCGAAACAGGTGGTGATTTCTGTTTCTGATGGGCGGAGCCTATCGGATCGTGTCGATCCGTCGCGGTTCTATTTTATTGTTGAGCTCACGCGGCGCGATTCGTCATGCGATTAGGCATAATTGGGCATTAGCGAGTCGTTTAGTCGAGCGAGTCGCGCGATACGCGACGGTCGTTTACGGATTGCTGCCGGTGAGCCAGAGATATATAGCCGTATAGGTGAAATCAATTCGCGCAGATTCGCGAGCGAGGAGAAAACGCGCGTGCAATTCAAACCGTATGCCGCGCGGGCGCGCGCCGAGTCGAGTCGAGTCGAGTCGAGTCGAGTCGAGTCGAGCCGAGCCGAAGGAGTCGGGAGAGAAAGTGTTACGCCACAAACGGGCGATTGTTTCAAACGTTGACGATTAATTAAAAGCGGTGCGTTTAAAAACGTAATCGCGTGCACGCGGGCTTGGTAAAAGCGTGGAGGGAACGGGCATTCCTGAACAGAGGCAACGACTCTCCAGAGAGGCGGAGAGAGGAGAGGGAACGAAGAGCAGACTACCGGGAGCACGCTGCCGAGTGCTGCAAGCTGATAATTGCCTCGATGAGAAAATTACTATTTACGCGACTCGAGGATTTTGTCTACACACTCGCAGCACTCGGGAAGAAAGGAAGGCAGCGGAGATCGTCGGCGAGGGGATCGGATTCTCAAAGCCGATGCTTGCAGGGACCGCCAACTGTTGGAGCATCGTCAAGCATCGTGACGAGGAGCAGCGTGAATATCAATCGCCAGCGTTGCCGACGAGACGACAGGATTCTATCATCTAGTCAGTGTCCGTGGAAAATCGGATCAGCTGTGATAATGTGCGAAACTTAGTGCTCGTCGGGAGGGTTGGAATTCCCGATCCGCGTGAGTGAACGCACGAACGAACACGCGATGAACAGAGAGAACTGGTCAGTGAAGTTTCGAGACGCGTTAGCGATATACTTCTGTGTATAGTCGTACACACGTACACGCGTGAAGAGAAGGAGGAAGAAAGTTGCTAAACAATCCGACGCAATCATGGTTACCTTGGACACGGAGCAGAAGCCCGAGAGGCAGCACTGCGAGCGTCGCATGTGCGCCATTTGCAAACGCATCAAGCGCGACAGAGGTAACGTTTCCACCATGATTTCCCTTTGTAAACGTAGAAGAGACGAGACCGGACGCAAGTGTGTCTCAGTCACTTGGTTCCTTCAAATTCCGCGCGTCTACGCGATTTTACGCGGTCTCCCTCGCGAGAGAATGAGAGGGATAGCGAAACAATTGAATCGGTTCGCACAACGCAGCCGCGCAACGAAGGAAACACAGTCAGTCGTTCGCTACTGCGTTTTTTCCCGCAACGAGTCGTTGTCTTTCCGCGTTGCGATCCCATCCACCTGTCGGTGCTTGCGATAATTGTCGGCGATAGATGCGTTCCCCGACGCGCTCGCGGGAAACCAGGGGAAAATCGGTGCAACGTCCTGGTTTCGTTAAAAAACAAAACAAAAAAAAAAAATAC